AGGTCTGACTCAAATCATCTTCCTGGAAAGGTCAAGCTCCTTGTGTCTGTGCTGCATCAGACATGGAGGCTACAGTCTCCATACATGCAAGATGCATTCCATTGGCATTCCATGGAAACCACAGCAGGGAGAGAAAAATATTCCTTTTTATATTTTTTTAAAGGACAATAGTGAACAATTGAGCAGGTTCTCTCTTGGGGATAAGCTGATTTCAAGACTGGGTTTGTGTGAACTAGACACAGGCTAGAGTCATCAGAGAGGAAGAAGCCTCGACTGAGGAAATGCCGCCATGAGACCCAGCCAGTGATCAATGGGAGAGGGCCCAGTCCGTGGTGGGTGGCGCTATCCTTGGGCTGGTGGTTCTGGGTTCTAAAGAAATTAAGCCGAACCATCCATGGGAGAACACCAGTAAGCAACACCCCTCCAGGGCCCCTGCATCAGTTTCTGTCTCCAGGATGCTGCTATCTTGCTTGAATTCCTGTTCTGACTTCTTCAGCGATGAACAGCAATGTAGACGTGTAAGTCAAACCCGTCCCACTTTTTGGTCATGGTGTTTCATTGCAGCAATAGAAACCCAACTAAGACCTATCTATAGTATGTATTATGTGTATATGCATATATATTGTATATATGTATACAAAAGTGTACATATATTTCAGAACAGATATTTGAAAACAGAGCAAGTCATCAGTCAGAATAGGTAGTAAATTTAAGATTTTATTTTTGATTGGCATGTATTTATTAGTCATAATGACAGCTTCGTAAAGACATTTAAATTCGGATATATCTTGTACTTTATCCACATTCTTAAATAATTAAAAATCATTTTGTGTGTGGGTGGTGTGTGTGCCTGGGTATGTGTGGGTAGATATGGGTGCAACATACCACGGTGTGGGCATGGAGGCTGGGGGACAGCTTCAGACTTGGTCCTTTCTGTAAATCAGGTTCTCTCTGCTGCACTGCATGCAGCAAGCTGGTTGGCTGTTTTTCTGCCATCTTGCCACAGAAGCATTGGGGTTATAGACGTGTACTGTTGTGCCGGCTTTTTCATGGGTCCTAAGGCCTCACCTCAGGTCCTTACACTTAAGAAGCAAGCATTTGACTCATGGAATCATCTCCCCAGGCTCGCTGTGTTTTTATTAATGTCCCTCGCTACCTCCCCTTCCCCCTCCACTAGGCTCCTTCCCTTTCCCAGAGTCTCACTTCTACTTTCATGGTGGGTGTGTGTGCATGCATATGTGTGCATATGGGCATGTGTGTGCTTCAGTCATGGGAATCTGCCTAGGTGTTCATCAATAGATGAATGGATACAGAAAATACACACACACACACGCACATACACACACACACAATGGAATTTTACTCAATCACAGAGAAAAGGGAAAGTGTGTTGTTTGTAGGAAAATGGGACGAACTGGAGAGCATCATATTAAACAAAATGCATCTGGCTTGGAGCATTTTTTGTGGTTTTCTAGCACCCTGATGGAGTAAATGGTGCTTCTTTGGCATAGGTAGACAGGAGGGAATCTGTGTCCCATAAAACCCACTTAGTAGTGCTGCAACTGTTGTACACGGGGTGGGGGGAGGGGTGAGCACAGGCCACATCAGTCTGGTTTGTACAAGAGCACAGTACAAGAGTACAAGAGGGAGTGTGAGCACCTTTTCTGATGTGGAGCCGTTCAGCAAGATGCTGGTTGGGTGACCCAGCTCCCTCCATGTAGTCTTCCTCGAAGACTGAGTGATGCTCCCAGACTCTCTGTCTGCTAATCGGCTGATGCAGGGCCCGGCTACTTTGAGAGAAGAGAAAAGATGTCTTTCTTTCTTTGTCCTTCTCTCCCAGCAGCCCTCCTCTGACACTGCCCCCGCCCACATTGTACAAAGCCACGCAGCTTTCCCGAACAGGTCTGTAAAATTAATTATACTGTGAGTGCTTGGTAACCAATGAATTGTAAATTGTACATTATTAAAACAGCATCAGAGCTTTGACTGATCTATTATTCTTTGGGGGAATGAATGAAGATAAGAGCTTTATACATTTTAGGGGTCTTTCTTGCCACCATCCAGCAGGCACACGGAAAAAACAGCAAGCATTTACGTTTTGTTTTTTTGGCAAGTTGAATTAAATAGAGAGTGTATTACTTTCTTCCATTATTAAATTGTCGTACATGTTTTCATGTGTCTGCTCCTAGCACTAATATGGTAGTGGATATTCAATAAATGGTATTTTATAACTGTGATAATATATATCTATATATGCTTATTCAAAAGGCAGTTTCTTGTCAACCCAATGTGAGTGGGAGATATATGATATGACATGGTATTACAGTAAAAACAAATTGTGTTAATACAGTGCTTCTTGGAAAAATCTCTGGAAGAATTCAGAGTAAACAGTCAGAAGCATTAAAAAAAAAGTCAGCTGAGTATGCACCAGGGGCCTTGTGGCTTCAGCTAAAAATGAAGAATCTGGAAGGAACTTTTTGTTCCTGTCTCTTCTAGATTCAGCAAGAGTACCCTTGGGGGCAGCTGGGGAAACCAGTCTTTTTACTGAACGATCTCCCCTGTGCAGAAGTTCTCAGCATCTTTTCACCTGCTACAGTGATTCCTTCCAGGCACATCACACACTTCTCCATGGAAACTTCTCTCTGTAATTGACCAAGCCTGCAGCCCTGAGACTGAACCCACCCGTCTGCCATGCAGCACTGCTCTCTTGAAAGCAGCCATGCTAGCTAGGAGAATCGTGACCAGGCAAACCACACAACAGAACACCACTAAGATAGCTAACCCAGCACCATCACATTGTGGACTTGGATGCCTCAGGACTGGGCTATTTCCAAATGCGGGGTAGAACCAGCTATTTATTCTATAGGGCCCATGCAGAAAGTAACAATGGGCTCATTGCTTACAAATTGATAAGAATTCGGAGACAGTCATCACAGAGCCATAAACTAAGTGTGCATCCTACTCAGCCACAGAGACTGAACGGGGAATGTTGCTGCCCAAGAGATTACAAGGGTATCTGTAGTTTCAGTTCATTTTAATCTTCTAGGGGTCTGATTGGGCTTTCAGAAAATTCTAGCACTTCCTTCATCAGGATAGCAGTGTCACCCATTCTTTTCCCATCCAAGAAGAGTGCAGTGAGGCCATCATCCCTTCATCTCCACACGAAGGGAGGGGCTGTTTTCTCTGTCATGACTGCAAGGACAGACCGAAGGAGAAGTTGCCACAGAGAAATTGAAAATAAAATTTGACAGGGTTTATTCTTAGACATAGTCTTCTTGCGATTTTTTTCTCCAGCAATACATGGTTTCCATCTCCTTGCTCTCCAGTAACACATATGAAACTGGGGGTGGGGGTGGGGGTGGCAATCACCTGTCTCCTTTTGCCTCTAAGGAAGATTCTCTTTTTCCTTTTGGTCTATGAATTCTTGTGGCAGAAGGAAGTAGGAGGGGAGACGGGAAGGGAGAGGGGGTAGCTGTGGTCAGGTAGGACCTGGGGAAGGAGCTCTGGGGCCACAGGAGAGCAGAGAGCAGCTGGTGGAGAGAAGGGAGAGTGGGTTAGAGCTGTGCTACTGGCATTTCTTCAAGCCCCCCCCCAGGCCTCTGTCACCCTGTTAACCCTACGAGGACCTCGGTCCACTTTTGTCATGGGAAGATAGACAGTACCATCTGGAAAAGCTCACAAAATGTATTCTGGTGTGGCTGTTCTCTTAGGATCTTGGTCACCAGAACTGGATGCTGGCATTTAGGGAAAAAGTAGATCAGGCTAGAGGGGGTGGCCTTCTGCGTGACAAACTCATTAAGACAAGAAAAGAATTTTTTCACAGTAGCCGTGGTGAGGACACAACCTAGATGATCTTTGGTAGATGAAAAATAACTTCGATGTGTCCTATATCTGCATCTGAATGTATAGAGCAGAATAGTATTCAGGCTTAAAAATAAAAAGGAAATTCTGCCTTTTGAGACAACCTGGAGGACATGGTGCTAAGTAAAATAAGTCGTGAACAAAATGGCAAACATGGAATTTTAAAAGGTAAAACTCTTAAAAATGGAGCTTGCACTGTTCGTTATTTTGCTTAACTTACTGATCTCTAGTTCCATAATTTTCCTTGCAAACAGCCTAATTTTGTTCTTCTTCATGCTTGAACAAACTCCATTGTGTATACTTACACCGTATTTTCTGTATCCAGAAAAACGACCAACATCTGTTAGTCAAAGAATATGAAGTTTCAGTTCTGTAGGACCGGCAAGTTCTGGGTACCTAATGTATCCATGGTGACCATAGTTCATGGGACTGGAAATAGGCTATTCTGTTTGGGGTTGGGCTCAGACCTATACATGATCCAGTTCCCTGTGCAAGATGGCTTGGGATGTGGATGCCACGGAAGGCCTTCAGTGAAGGTCTTTTGGTAGGGAAAGAAGAGTGAACAAAATGAAGCCTTGTTTGGAAAATAAATCTGGAATTGACGCTGCAAGGCTTGATGGCAGTGTTTTTCATATGATCTGTTTAAGACTGTACATCTCAAGAATCTCAACACACACACACACCTATGTCATATTCCCCCACATAAAACACACATGTGAATACTTGCACCCACACTCCCACACCAACCACGCTGCCACACCGCATCCCCAGTGCACACACGTGCACACACACACACACACACCAGCTTATGATGATCACTTCTTCACACACACACACATAATCAAGTTGCACATAAAATGTAATTTTTCAATTATATGTCAACAAAGCAGGTAGAAAAAAGAGAAGATCCCTTCATGTCTTTTGAGTCCTTTACTGCTTTGAGAAATGGGGTTGAATTTCACTTGGGGGACAATGACAAGGCAGCACTCAAAGGGACAGTTCCAGAGCGTTCTAGCTAGCCCTGGATAAGGTGAAGCTATCCCACAAAGGGAGAAAGACCTCAGGCAGCTGACCCTATTTCAGCTTGCAGTGTGCCCTAAAATTCAAGAGAGGGCAGCAGATAACCTACACTCAACCGCATGGAGGACCCAGCAAGAGCGGCTCCTGAGGAATGCCAGCGGGGTACTCTGGGTCTTTTTCAAAACTTCTGGAACCCTGGCGTTCACCGTGCCAGAAATTAGTTGCCAGTCCTGCAAGCCTGGAAAGCAGGTACATGATTGGATGGGATGGAAAAGAGCGAGTGAAGCAGATTGCCATAGCAGACTCTCGCCCCCCCCCGCCGCATCCTGCCCCCACCTCGAAGGGACAGTTCTGCCTGCAAAGTCAGCACAGGCATGCAAGCTCTGCTGCCCTGTGACTACTTCAGCTAGGTCTCTGCAGTGAACAGCCCCTACAGTCTGTCCTTGGCAGTGGCTTCCTACCCTGTAAGTTAAGCTCCACTGCGGAAGGGAACTCTAGAGAGTGTCAGAGCTTCCAGGAGAGAGTTTGCAACAGGAAGGACTTTTCCAAGTCATAGTGGGGCTGAGATGATAGAGGGAATGAGGGATGGGTAGGGTAAGAAAGACTGGGAACAATCTTTTGGTGGTGGTAGGTGTTTTTGTTTTTGTTTGTTTGTTTTGTTTTGTTTTTGAGACAGGGTTTCTCCGTGTGTCCCTGACTGTTCTCGAACTTGCTCTGTAGACCAGGCTGGCCTTGAACTCAGAGATCCTCCTGCCTCTGCCTCTGGAATGCTGGGATTGAAGGCTAGTACTCCCATGACCCAGACTGTGGAATCAGCTTGGGGACCTAACCTCTGCATCACAGGATCTGTTTATATAAATTGCAGGTTCCTCAGGGAGGTGACAGGGGAATGTGGGTCCCAAATGCAGCCCCACCTTAAGCAGGCGAGGAAGAGTGAGTGAAATAGAATCTTTACTGGGCCAGACAAATCTCAAAACGACAGTGCAAACCAAATGCAGCCCTTCCTTAAGCAGGCGAGGAAGAGTGAGTGAAATAGAATCTTTACTGGGCCAGACAAATCTCAAAAGGACAGTGCAAAACTCGAGAGAGCTGTGGAAGTCTTTTCTTTCTTTTTTTTAATTCTGCCCCGTGTTTAGTCACATTGTAGAGTCACTGCAACCTACCCAAAAAAATGCCAGATTACGTAAGCAGTTTAGATGTTGCCTCCACAAGTTGGACCCTTTTCGTATTTTTAACGGATTTTTTTATTTCCTGTTAAATAATTGAAATTTGTTAAAAAAAATTTCATCAGCAAGGTAACTGATAGAACTGTGGAGAGTTCTGATTTCAAACTGGGAAAGTGTGCATTACCTCCTGTTTTCCTTTTTATAACCTTAAAACTGCCAGATACTATAGGTTCTCAACCTATGGGTCCCAACCCCTTTGACAAACCTGTATCTCCAAAAATATCTACATTGTGATTCGGTGATTACAGTTATGAAGTAGCAACAAAAATAATTTTACGGTTGGGGTCACCACAACATGAAGAACTGTATTAAGGGGTCACAGCTGTAGGAAGGTTGGGGACCATTGCACTAGATACACACCTGACATGGCACAAAAGGTTTCTGGGAAGCACGTCTTAAAATCCTGGGCTGGTTTAGTATTAAACAGTGACTCTGGGGTTACGTTAATCTGCCACTTCATAGACCCTGGAGGGCTAAGGGTTCTCTTCATATGCATGATAATAAAATCCAGACTTGGCAAGAATACAAGTCCACCCCACACGTGCTCTGTCTCTGAAGTGCTGAGGCAGGAGGATGACATTGTACATGTGGGTCACACTTTGGGAAACTGGAAGTACAAGCTGATCAGCACATTGATAGAGTCTACTGCCCTACCTGGGGAAGAGGGGGTGCTGGGGACCTAGGGATTGACTTGTGCAGTGATCATGGAATCTTTCACCCTAGGGGAGCGGCTGTGTTCACAGAGTTTGTGTAAGAGGAAAAGGATCTTCCAGAGAAAGGAATATATGGTCTAACAGCACATATAGGGATTTTTAAAAAGCATGGTGGGGGAGGGACAGGGAGGGAGGGAAGGAAGGAGAAAAAGAGAAGAAATAAGGAAAGAAGGGAGAGATTGAGAATGAATTTTGATAGTACAAGTGTGTGTGTGTGTGTGTGTGTGTGTGTGTGTGTGTGTGTGTCCAGTTTCTGAAGTTGAAGTTTTCTCTGCCTGAGCTTCTGAAAGAACCTTTTAGATGTACATGTTTTTATTTCATGTGTAAGGGTCCTTTGCCTGAATGTGTATGCAGTGCATGCCTGGTGCTCTTGGAGGTCAGAAGAGGGTGACATGTCCCCTGGAACAGAAGTTATGGCGGTTCAACCTGGGGATGAATCCAGGTTCTCTGCAGGAGCAGCAAGTGCTCCTAACATCCTGCTGTCTCCAACAGCCCTGCTGGCAGCTCCCCTTACAAAAGGCACATCTTCCAGCTTCACAGCTTTGGTTTCACTCTCAGTAAAATGTGGGAAACTGGGCTCTTTTCAGGATGCTCTGGCGTCCTGACTCACTGGAATGCTGTAGTGGACACAATGAATTCTTAGATATTGACCCTTCCCCCACTCTATTGAATTTACCACAGTTAATAGAGATATATAAAACCCAAATACTTTCCAATACCACTTATAAGAGATGCATTTTTCTTGGCTATGAAGAAACAGGTTTTGATGTGGCTTTCAACTTTAGCCTGTTTACTCTATTTCTGATTTTGAGATGGGGGGTCTCGTGTAATTCTGTGGTGGCTATCTGCTTGCTGAGGCTGACTGGTCTTGAACTCCTCATCCTCCTGCCTCTGTCTCCCAACTACTGGGATTACAGGTGTGTCACCACTCCCTCTTCTTACCTTCTCAGCTGTCGTGCAGTATACCACTCTGGTTTTGTCTTTGTCTTTCAAGGTTGCTTCTCTTCCAAAAGAATGTAAATAGACTAGTTACTGTGCAAGTTATGAGCATTTAGCCACACATCAGGAAACAGATCAAAACACAGGCAAGCCCTGAACCTGACCTTCTAGAGCAAAATCAACAGACATAACCCTATAAGCTTCCCACAAGGAAGCTTGAAGAAATCAGGGCTTCTTGGCTTTCCCACCACGGCAGATCTGCCTTGCCCCCAAGACAGATCTTGGCTTTCTTATACCACGGTGTTTAAGATGGTGTTGCCTGAGCTTTGTAGTTCTTGGAGTTGCGGGAGACAGTTCAGTTATAAAACTACTTTCTGCATCAGCTTGGACACCTGAGTTCATTTCCCAGAATGCTTCTAAAAACCAGGCAAGACAACTTGTGCTTGCAAAGCAGAGACAGATGGATGGATCCTTGCAGTTGACTGGCAAGCCAATCTAACCAGTAGGTGAGCTGAGAGACCTTGATGATGTCTCATGCTGACCTCTGTCCTCTCCATGCACACGCACCAGAGCCCCCTTGAGCATTCTGGATCCTTGATGATGCCTCATGCTGACCTCTGGCCTCTCCGCACACGCGCACCAGAGCCCCCTTGAGCATTCTGGATCCTTGATGATGCCTCATTCTGACCTCTGGCCTCTCCGCACACGTGCACCAGAGCTCCCTTGGGCATTCTGGATCCTTGTTGAGGACTTCATCTTTGCTCTTCTTTTCTTCTTCCTTTTTTTCTGTTGTTTTGGTTTTTGTTTTTTGAGACAGGGTCTCTCTATACACCCCTAGTTGTCCTAGAACTCACTATATAGAGTAGGCTGGCTTCCACCTCACAGACATCTGGCTGCTTCTGCCTCCTAAGTTCTGGGATTAGAGGCATGTGCCACAACTAGTCTCTGCTGCTCCCCCGTACCCAGCTGATCTCCTCTTCTTAAAGACTGACAAATCAGCCCAGCACTTCACAGTTATTTGCCTACGATCCAAACCCCGCCTTCTTTGGAAAGAACACAAAATAATTGTAGATTATCATAACCCGCCGGGGGTGGGGGGTGAGGTACGAGAAAACCCATCCCCAGTGAGTTTACCACTCTGCTTCAGAGACAGAGAAACCTGGTCTCATGTCTCACCTACCACTTTGTCTTTTGCATATCCGTCTTTTGGCTGGAAAGTAGGACATGTGCTCTAATACGCAAGCAAGGTTTCCAATCATACACCTGCTTTTAGGCCCCAGATTATAGCAGGAGCAGTGAGCACTTGTCCCTGAATACTGCTTCTGAGGAGTTCGTGCAGTGACACTTAAATCCAAGGGGCTGAAAGCCAAGACTCGGCACACACACACACACACACACACACAGAGAGAGAGAGAGAGAGAGAGAGAGAGAGAGAGAGAGAGAGAGAGAGAGAGAGAGAGAGAGAGAGAGAGAGATTCCTCCCCACTCCCAGGGCCTGCTGCTGCCAAACCTTTGACAGTCAGTCACTTTGAGTCACTCCTCCTTGCCCTGCATTTTCTGCCTAGGCGCCGACTATCTTTGTCTACTTATCCTAACTTGAATCAGTGAAGCCTCTTTTTCTACTTAGGACACCAGATCTGTTCTCCCTCTCATTTCCCCTTCTCGATGTCTTCTTCCAACTCGCTGCCTGAGGCTGACCATACTCCTTCAATCTCAAGAACATACCGCTTATCTCATTTCCATGTTGGAGGCAGCCAAAGGCTTTTAGATAACGAAAATCTCTCCTCTGCAGTTTTGAGCTACAAAGAATTTGCTAGATTTGCTGGTACAGAGCTAGCACTTGTGTTCTGCAATTCTCAGAAGGTCAGGGGTCAACCATGAACATGGTCATATGAGAATATGAAAATAATGACAATATAGCATGAAGAATAGCAAAGATTTCCCCAGAAGGGGGAGCAGCTGGGTCTTGAGAGACAGTTGGGACTGTTATAATCAGGACTGGGAGCTGGGGCTCAGGGGTCCTGACAGAGGTGACATGGTGTGGGAAGGGAGGCAGGAAAGAGCAGCCCCAGATAGATCCGGTTGACTTAGCTGGTTCGGCTGGCAGGGCAGGTACCTCTGCCCCCCATTCTTACAGTTCCACATTCCAGGTGTATCTCTCCCTGGGCTGTTCTCCCCCTGACACTCAGGGATCAATCATAATCTGTCAAGACTTGAAAGATAAGCTAACTTCACACATTCAGGATGAGATCTGAGGTACAGTGGGAGCATAAAATGTGAGCATAATGACAGGAGGGGAGGAGAGAGGGCTGGTGGGAATGACCATCGCCTTCGCCATCGTCATACTTAGAGGCAGGGTCTCATGTGTCCCAGGTTGGCTTTTAACTTGCTGTGGAACTTGAACTGCAATCCTCTTGCTTCTGTTTTCCAAGTACTTGGATTATAGGCATGAACTGTTTACACCCAGTTTATGTGGTAAATTCCACTCGTGGCTTCTGTCATGCTGGAGAAACACGTCACCAACTAAATTATATCCCCAGCTTGGACATGACTCATTTGGTGCCCAGACACTCAGGTGTGCTGGTCCAAGGAACTGGACATTACCTCATAGGAAGAAAGGGTGACAGGTTTTGTGGCTACATACACAGTTGACAGACAAAGAGAGATAAGGCCACGTGCAGAAGATAGCACAGCCGGGATGGCTCAGGGGATGAGACCACTGACTCATCTTCCAAAGAAGACCCAGCCTTGATTCCCAGGACCACACGGCAGCTCTGTAACTCTGGTTCCTTTTTTTTTTTTCTTCCAGGCCAGAGGCATGCAAGTGGAGCACAGACATGCATTTGGGTAAAACACCCATACATATAAAATAAAAAATTTTTTAAATTAGAGAGCGCGCGTGCACGCACTCAGGAGGTGATACTGAATCCAGATGTGAAACGGAAGACCATGAACAGAGGTAGCAGAGACGGTGGGGGTGGGGTGAGGTGTTGGCATGGGGCTGTGAGAACTTCAGTAGTCACTTTTATGAAGCAGTCAAAGTGCTTCTCTCAGATTTCTGACCTGTAGAGAGGTTCCATCAGTCAAGATAAAGAACCCAAAAGACAGAGCAAGTCTAGGGAAAGACATTTAAATCTCTTGCTTCTTAGAGGCAGGGAGGACCAGAGCACAGCGCTCTCAGTGGTTTGAAGTGCAGGTGAAGAATCCTGGGGTGAAGCTGTCTGAAGGTGACATTGTTCATCCCACCAAATACAACACAAGGTGCCATGGGCCATGAGAAGAGGTTCAAACACAACCGTGTACTCAGACTCGTCAAACATGAAAAGTGTCTCTGGGGATGGCTGCAGAAGCCATGTTTCTGTTTTGCCTATTAACTTTGTGCTGTGTTTCCTGGGCTTTCTCTCATGTCTGACATAAAATTGAGAACATCTTCCTTCTCTTTATCTTTCTTGAGATTACTTGCAAGATTCAAACAGCATCCTATGCGCTTCTAAACACAATAGTCGATTTACCAGTGTTTTTGTTTTAATCCTGTATGTGCTTAAATATGACAAGCTTGGTTAGAATAGTTCAAGGAGTGTGTGTTCAGGGAAGGGGCATTGAAGGAAAAGGAAGAAAAAGAGGGAGGTGAAAACTTGTTGAAATTACCAATTTTAGAAATTAAATACTGGGGAGAATAGAGAAAAAGTTCATACAGGCCCTTTCAAAAGTCATTTTTCCATTTTCTTGTGTTCACAGTCATGACTGTAGTATCTCAACTGACTGCTAAAACATGTATTTTTAAGCTAGTATGCTTAAGGAAATATCTTAAATATTTCAGTAGATGTTTAAAATATTCAGGAGATGTTTCAGATATTTGAGTATTTAAGAAACATGGGTCTGCATGAAGAACCATTAGAATTCAATACCTTGGGAATTAAAACTGGGAACAAAAGATATAATTATAAAATTTGAATTTAATATGCATGTCAGAAGTGCCAACCGACATTTTATATCATGAAGAATTACAAAATGCTAATTAAAAGTCAGTGGTAATATCTTCGTTCCCCATGAGCCTGCATAGAATCCCTTAGAAAGTTCCTATCTGAAGTAGGGAATTTATGGGAAAAATTCCAGACACCACTGGATTCATATATAGAAAGTGTCTTGGGTCTCCTTATTTAGATGTTTGAAGTTCAAATCTTCTATGATCCTATTTTAGTTAGTGAAATCTGGGTAATACATTTCTCCCCTCAGAAACAGTGCTGTTTGACTTTTTTGTTTTTTTGACTCAGTGGAGCTTTCCAAGTTAACCTTGGGTTTTACACCTCTTTTCATATACAGGCAGCCTCCTTAAGTTAACCACTTTGCATGGGGTGTGTACAAGGCCTTTAGTACAGCAGTCCACATCCAAGCTTTAGTCTTTGAGATATTTTTTTCTTTTTTCTTTTCTATTTTTTAGAAAGAGCTTGGATAGGAAGGAAAGTTGAATGCAAACACATTAGAAGATTTCACCCACGGTTTACAGTAGTCCCAGTGACTCCTGTGAGACCTGAGGTTGTCATCCCTCAATAAATTGGTTCCCATTTGTGAATAGTATCAGTCATTGAACATGTGCACTAAGTCTTGTTCCAGGTAGAGCTGGAAGTCAAATCAGTTTTATAGTCTTATGGGCAGTGGTTTTAATTAATAAAACCAGTACTTTAGCAGAATATCATGGCTTATAATCAAAGAAGTCATGTGGGTCTGAAGCCTACTGAGGACAGCCCTATTAAGATTCACTCTGAAACAGAAAATTAATTTCCTGGACTTCACAAAGTAGCAGTGGGAAGGCTTCCCTTCTGCATAAGCCTGGAGGGTGGGTGCTTGGTCCCATGGACACCCAACGGCTATGTGGGCTGATTAACATGCATATAATTAATATGTGCCAAGTAGAAAGGCAAAGGCAGTTTGATTGATTCTGCACTACTGTGGGATATTTTCTTTCTGTGCCTATTATGATTTTTTTTCCCGGATCTAATCTTCTCCGAGCACCACTCTTTGGGTTTAGGATCTCAGCTTCCTGTCATAACAGACACCATCACATTGGAAAGCTAGCCCTACTCCAACTAGATCTCCTTCCTGTTCACATCACATTTTAAAGACACATTTTTCACCCCATGGTTAGGAACATGGTAAATAACTGAGGCGATCCATCAAGGGACATGCTCCTGATAATGAAAAATTGCATAACTCGGTGCCAGTCAATTAAAAACCACAAACTTCGGATCCTTTTTCTCAGTGAAGATTGATTTATTAGTACAGGAGGCATCTAATACAACAGGCTGGGGGGAGGTTGAATCAAAAATTTTTTTAAAGTTCTAAAAATGCAGTTAAAGTTTGACAATGAATTTGAGTAGGAATTACACAATACCAAAGTCAGTCAGTTCTTTGAAATGAAAAAGTGTATGTTGTTTTCTTTCTTTATCATAAGATGTCTGAGATGCCAGGGTTTTGTAACAACTTTAGGAATAACATCCTCAGCAGGGGATACCTATCTTCCTTCCAGGGTTTTAAATGAACCTTATTCTTTGGTTTTGCCTATACAATACAACTCTACAAATTACCAAAAACAGGTCAGGATATTTTCTTTGTTAAGCTAAATATTTGCACACTATCTGAATAAGAGGCTTAAAATGTTTTTAATATCTGGTTGCCTGGTTAGGACAGGCAATATAGTTCATAGAATGTGGTAACTTCTACAGCTGCATAGATTTTTTTTTTGTCATTTATGAGCAGTGGTTTTATTTAGAAATGTCAAATTCTGCTTCAGTGGGCCAAGGGAAAAATATGAACTCTCAGGAACAGAATCTCCAAACACATTTCTTTCAGTATTTTTGTATGCTCAAATATAAATTTAAACACCAATATCTCTTTTCTAACACCAGAGACATCCAAACATTAATTTTTTTTCTTAACGATTCAGAGTCTAGCAATGTGAGTTTTAGACTCTGCCTAACAGCTTAGGTAGGGTTCAGCAGTCAGGCATGACAAACACACAGTCCCAGGGAAGGACACACATGTGACACAATCCCTCTGAAATTAAACTGCCCAAGAAAGGAGGAATTGTGTCCTTTTAAATAACAATGCAATCCTTAGAGTTCTTCAGATTTGGAATTCCACCAGTGTTCTACTGTTTTCCTCCTGATGTGTGAGAAGAATGAGTAATAAAAAAATTAAGCACAAATCCTTTGACTCTATAAGGTTCAACATCAGATACATCAAATTCTCAAAATACCAGAGACCAGGGAAGGAGCTTAAACACTGGTGGCGGTGCGGAGGACACAGGCTTTTAAGAAACCCTCAAGTTCATTTTTAACCTGCTCATACTCACTTTGCTCATTTCTGTGGAGGTATTACCCCTTTGACTGACAGCTAGGGACTGTGACATTTCACATCCCCATAAATATTTGACTTTGACTTCATAAGAAGTCCCTTGGGTCTATAATACTTTTATTCTTGTATAATCTGAAACAAATCCTTTCCTTTTAAAAATCAAACAGACCACGTTTACACACAGTTCACTATTTACAAAGCACCCAATTAAATCCTACTTAATTCTCCCACTCTAAAAATTCCATCTAACTAGTATGTAAAATACCTATTACATTAAATGTGTGATGTTCACAAACCCTGGAGTTAACAGCTCACCTAGAAAATATGACTTTCCCGGAAGGGAAGGGCCCTAAATCAATTCAAGGGTGTTAAAGAAATCACACTAGAAGTCACAGTACAAGACAGATAAATCTACTTTTAATTTTCACATGTAAAAGTTACACATCACATGAAATTGGACAGGAGCTTAGTGGTAACTGACACCGCTATAGTGAAAATCATTTTTATAAAAAAATAATCTAGATGTGGTCATCAGAATTTTTGGTCTACGTAAGTTATGTTTGAAGATCGACTTTTATCCCTGCTTGAAGGATTTTCCATTATGCTTTTATTTTCCTTCTTCTACTGATGCCTATTAATATTCTTTGGAGGAAGGAGGGCAGAAAATGTCCGTTTCCAAGAGTTTGTCCTTTGGTAGCAAGCAGAGAACGTTTTTCATTTCTATGACTTAAATAATCTGTACAGATATGAAACTTCATGACATTATGCTTTAGAGTAAAATGAAGAACAAGCATTTCCACTTTGATAAGAGCAGATTCTGTAGCCTCCTTAAAGAGCCAAGCATTTCTCCATCCTATATGCAAAATCACTCAGAATCTATTTTTTAACCTCAATTCAATAAGAAAAAAACCCCACACACTTAATTCTTTATATATATGTTACACTATAAAACCCTGCACTTAAAAACAGATAACGTATGTTTTCAATATGTACACTTCCAATACAAAGGTTTCCATCTAGGTTAAAGAAAACACATCTGAATGGACTCAGGAGTTTATTTTGTGATTAAACATCTCATGCAGTCATGCAAGACCAGTACCTAGAGCTGTTACTTCCGAGCCTCAGATACTGGATACTGGGCAAAACAAAAAACAAATCAACAGCCTGGCCAAACAGAAAACACATCGAGATATTAAGAGCTCTGCAAGAGAGCTGAAAAATAATTTTCCAAAAGAAATATTCCCATAGATTAAAAAAACACACACATAATATTTACAAAAAATATTTAATTAAAAATATCTTATAATTACAGTAGTCTATTAAAGCGCATATACTTTCTCACACTTTATAGAACATCTCTATATATACAGGGTATGAAATGTCACTCACTTATCTATACAATATGTAACATTCTTGCAGAGAAAAAGTTCCCTGCCCTGTTATAATCATCTATTTTAAACAATAGATGTAAAACAACGTATCTACAATGCTCTGGTATATTAGTAAAGCTTCGAAAACAAAAACAGTTCCCTTGTCACAATGCAGCCTCTACAGTTGGATTCACTATTGGTCTTCTACTTAACAGTCCTGTCCTGTCACACTCACGCTTCAAAGTTTAACTACACCTCCAAAAGGGTGATAAAAATCACCACAGAAATGTACAATTCACAGCGGTTATGAAAGAAACAAAAGAGAATACGTACGGAGAAAGCTTGTGAACGTGCAAAAAATTAAAAGTGAATGAAAGGTTTACTATTTTTTTCCTCTCTCTCTTGGAAAGACGAGACGAGACGACGTTTCTAGATTTGCTGAAGGTTGTTTTTCCCCCTTTCCTCCGGTGGCTTTTTCTCTTAATTTCTGCTCTGACCCTCCCTTTCCAGGGCTCCTGGCTTGCTGGTGCTCGGGCGGCAGCACACCTGTGGAAGAGGAATGAATAGAGGGGGTGTGTGAACCATCTCTCTGCAGACTGACTGGCGCCACCGACCAAACTCAAGACATGCATGATCAACAACCCAAAACAAACCGCCGGATCAGACAAAACCCGCAGCCCGCAGCCCAGTCAAG